GAGCGCACACGCTTAACCGCTTGCGCCACCAGCCGGCCCCTTATCAATTCTGATTTTAGTTACATATTTTGGGATTTCACAAGTATTAAAGAAGAAAAAGAGCGAGTTCTTATAGGCTCTACAAAATCAGGGATTTAAATCACGTGTCACAGATGTCGAAGAATAAGTGTGAAGAGACTTTACTATCATCTTATCTGTTATATTTCCCAAAATGGAATCAGAGAGCTAAGAGAGAAGAGGCAAGAGGATAAAAAGAGTAAGAAAAGAGTGTACATAATTCCTCAAGAGGTATCAGAAAGGAGGTCAGGAAGAGAAAGGAAGAGGAAAAGTATTGGTAAGTAAAGAAACCACATACAGTATGTTTCCAATGTCTTCATACTGTTGCCAGCACATTAGTAAATACTTGTAGCACTGCAGCTATTAAAATTCAGAGATAGTATGAAACAACTAGATCAATTCTTATTAGAATTTAACAAAATTGGAGACTACATGCAACTTCATTTAGAGAAGAAAAGAAAGTTTATTTTCACTTACACAAGATTGATTAATCCAAGTATGCCCATGCCTCTGAAGTCTGTTTTGGGATCATCACCCTGGAAACCAATGTCAGCCCATTGCTTGGAGACTCTAGCCTTCAACTTTTTCGTGGGCATTAGAAGATTCCAAAGCTGTATAAACATTTGCTTCCATATTACAAATAATAGTGATGTTCTTAACTTACCAAGACATTTTTCTTCTCATAGCTGATATACTAGTAAGTTGAATGCTTTCAGTTATACAACTTTTTTACACAAACCATAGGTTCAAGAAAGACTCTATTTAGAGAACTTTTCAATTATCCTAAAAAAAAATGTAGCATATTTATTCCAATTTAAGAGATTGATATAAGGAACAACAGATTTTGAAAAGGTAACAAATACACAGAAATCTAAAACAATGAGATGTCTTTATTCACTAAGCAATACATATAGATCAGAATCGGTAAACTGCTTCCTCAAGAAGAACACAGTGTTAAGCACTTGGCCCTTGCTTCAGACACTATATACTTAAGTAGGCTCTATTAGAACAGTAGGTGATTAGTTCCTAATTAGAAGAAAGAAACTAGGTCTGAGATAGGGAGGGGATCATGAAGAAATAATTCTGATAGTATTCCAACCTATATGATCATTATTTTACAAATTTTCATAGTTTTAAAAGAAAAAATAATGTGACTTGGTTTCACATTATTGTAAAATGTAAGAGATCTAAGACAGGATTTAAGAACAATTACCAAACATTAAATAGCAACAAACTAATCAACGCAAAATAAAGTTTAAAAGTGTTAATCAGTCATTTTCTAAATTCAACACCATAAGTCATCAAACAAAATAGACATACAAAAAAGTTGACAAGAAAGGTTGTGAAAATTTGCAAAACAGAAATACTCAAATTTTTTTCCATTTCACTACCATTTCAGGCATTGTTGAGTAAAGGACTGTTAAAGAAAGGAGTAAAATAAAATGTAAAGACCTGTGACGTTACTTTAAGACAGGGTCAGGACTCTGGCCCTGAAGCTAAATCCAATCACAGATTGGGTTTTATCTAGTCCCTTCTCTTATTACTAACACATGCGATTTGCTCACATTAGGGTCTCTCCATGACTTCAGCAAGGGGTTTGATTATGCCAATGATAAGGCCTCAGTAATGTGGTGAGAGACACAGTAAAACCATTAATTGTCAAAATTTAATATGCATAAGTATTAAATTTCTGGGTTCCACTCCTGGAGATTCTGATTTGGTAGGGCAAAAGCGGAACCTTGGATTCTAAATATTAAGGGCTGGTTACCTTCAGTGAAGATGGTCCTTCGACTACACTTAAAGAAACAGGGATCTTCTCAGCTCTTTACGCAGAGAGACTGCTGAGTATGTGTAGCAACTGGGTGGCTCACTGCTGGCAACTGGCTCCTCGCCTCCAAAACTAAGTTTCATAGTAAATCACCAAGATAAAAATTTCCTTGACTAAAATGCTAGGACTTGTATCTTACCCCTTCAAAAGGGAAGGTGTTGTGTAGAAAGGGTCTGAAGTTAAGGGAATAATGACAATGAGGAGGAGGATATAAATAGCGGTCAAGCCTCAGAGAGTGCCAGGCACTATTCTAACACTTTAAATATAAAAAGTCAACCCACACCAACAGCCCTTTGAGGTATATATTTTTACTATCCACATTTTACAAAATCAAAATTTTTAATTTTAAAATTAGGTAAAGTGCATATTTATAATACTTTTCCTGAAAAAAATAAAAGGTTTTATCGATTTTAAACTTGTCTCTTACTGTTACTCAGATACTATCAACATTTCTTTCTACAACACTTTTAGTTATAACAAACTCCAAACTCCAAGTGCAATGTGTTGTTTTCTCTAACTTTAACCACTTAAAAACAAAATTAGAATAGGTGTATTGGACGGGCAGGAGACTCAGCTCTAGTTCAGAATTTACCATTCTAGGACCTAAAGCAAATTACTTCTCCGCTGGGCCTTAGAATCCCTGTCCCTAAAATGAAGGTACTAGGATAGATGATCTGGAAGCCTTCTTCCAGGTGTAATATTCTCTAATTTTGGCATCTCACCAGCTTTATGTACTTAAACTTCAGAAATAAGAAACAGGAAAATTCTAAGTAAATTTCTTTACTTCCTTAATTTTTAAATCTATTGTGGCATTATTTGGCAATTAACATTCCATAAATACCAAAAGATCTGACATAATCATCTGAAAAGAGACATCCACATTCACAATTTGAGAGTAAGCTGAAAAAATGCTTAACTTATGTGAGCAACTCATATAAAAAGTAGGGGGAAAATCTGAAGCTTGTGGACTCATACTTTTCAGTTGAAAAGATCTCCCTAATTTTATAATTTATTGCAGAGTTAAATTACATTAAAGCATTAAAATAAAATTTGAATATATTTTAATGACGCTTATCAGAAAATTATAAAAAAGTTAACTAAAAATCTTTCAACAACATAATAAAATTCTCTAAGGAGCAAAGAAACTGGATGGCTGCATAAACCGCTAGAATCTGCACACAGACCTCCCTAGCTCAAGCCTGATTTATTTTTCCAACGTTCAATAACTCCAAATACAGAAAACAAAAATTTACCTTGAGAAGCAGCTTTTCATGTTGCATGTTATCAGAATCATATGGCTTTTTTCTCACACTTTCTACATCCAAATAGAGCTGTTTATAACCAGATATCTGTAGTAAGCATGCCTTCATGCAGATTTTAAAACTGAAAATGATAAATTTATTATTTTTTAAAATTATACCTTTTATCACAATAAAGTACTGCTTTCCACAGCCTGTGGTTGACATGTCTATTTAGAAAGCACTTTCTAGCTTTCAGTTTAGTATAATAAGCATCAGGAGCCTGAGTAAACACAGAACATTATACAAAGCATCATGCAGGATATGACAGAACCCGGTCTAGAAAGAGGGCAAGATATGGTAGGAATGGCAAACTTTGCAATTGCAAGGATGTGTCCTCTTCTTTCCATGTTTTCTCTGGGCAATCTCATACATTCCCAAATCTTTAGGGCCAGATATTACTGACAGACCTAATTTTCAAAGTATATGATAACAAACAGCTCCATGACAGGTTATCCCAGTTCTCCCAAATACAATAGGTTATCTTCCCTGAAGAAACAGCTCTTTTTTAAGTAAGTCTCTAAATCTATTAATGACATTACTAATCATTAGTTCCCCAAGCTAGAACCCTCCAAGTTCTGACCTTCCTCTCTCCATCAACAATACATCAAAAGATCCCTGAATCCTTATTCTTTCTTATCCCTGAAATGTCCCTCAAAGCAATCATATATCCATTTACCCTGACGTATTTATGGCTTTGTTATCTCTTGTCTGAATGACTCAGATTCCTAACTGTTCTCTCTGTCTTTACTCCCTCTACCAGCCTCCCACATCCCCAAATTTACCCTCCATCTTCCTAAAATATATATCTGATAATGTAGCTTGTTTGCTAAAAAAAAAACTGGAGGACAACATCTAAATCTCTCAGTAAGGCATGCAAGACTCTTTGCAAAGTATGTCTAATCTTGCATTCCATTCACTTCTCCAACCACTGCTCTGCACCTATTCAGTGCTCCAGCTACAAAAGACTCCCTATGGTTCCCAAATACTCAAGTACTTAGCGTCTTGTTGGCACTGCTCCTCTGGATGGACTGTCCTCCCCTATCCACTCAACAAGGTCCAGCTCAAACGTCACCTCTTTTGTGGAATTACCGTCACAGTTCTCTCCTGCACCCTTCCCTGTTTCAGCCAAAATAAATTGCTCCTTCCTCTGTATTTACACAGGAAATGCTGAATGAAGAAAAAATTGCTAAACACTTACTATCTCAATATACTTGTGCTGGGAACACAAAAATGGAATGAGTCAAGTCCTTCTCTTAGGGAACTTAGAATTTATTAGGGGAAGAACAAGAGTAAACCAACGATTACGGTACAGTGCGTTAAATGCAATGATAGAGAGCTCTAGGAGAGGACAGAGCAAGGGCACTGACTCAGACCAGAGGAGCCAGGGACGATCTTCCTGGAGGAGGTCAGAGAAACTGAATTTTGAAGGACAAGGACATAGTAGCCAAAGTTAGTTAACTTTGGGAAAGTAATGGTAAGCTATCTTAAAGGCGGCAGACGGTAAACTGGCAATAGTACCGGCTTGGGAACCAAGAGATACAGGTCTTAGTCCTGCTTCCATCACTCATCTCTTTGGACCTCAGTCCTCATCTAGTGAAGTGGAAGGGCTGAACTAGATGATCCCCACAACCCCTTCAGCTCCAATGTTTCACAACTGTGTGTGATCTCCACACCTCACAGGATGTACATGCACAATAAAAGAGAACCCTGTAAAAACAGCATACCTGGCATCCTTCTCAGGGTTAATATTCTTTTCCTTCATTATATCTTCTACACATTTGTCCACGTCACTCTGAACAGCAAGTGTCGCTTTCTGTAAAACCTATTTATGTGAAAGAAAGCTGAATGAGAAAAATCCCTTACAGTTAAAAAAGGACAGTAAGTTTTGAGAAATTTACTCAACTTTACAATGCATATATTAAAATGCAAATCAAAACCAAATTTGTTTCAATTTTTCACTAGGGCTAAAATCAGAAATAAATAAGTTAAAAGAGAAGCAGCATGATGCAGGCTTCCTTAACTGAGAATCAACGGGTTCTCAGCCGATGAGTTCTTAGCAAATGAGCTACCACTACTGTGTGCTTATGAAGCAGATACTTTTTATAAAATTTAAAAATTACATAACAAAAATATATGTACAAAAAAATTTTAATGCCGAAGTCAAAAAAATTTTTAAATGCAGAAGAGCAAAAAGAAGAAAACTCAATCTTGAATCCTACCACTAGAGATAGCGGTAACTGGTAACAGATTAGCATATATGTTTTCAATGTTTTTTCTATGCATATAAAACAGATTTCTTTTAAATAATATGTCCTATAAATGTGCACTGGATCCTTCTTTTCAACAAACAAGTAAGTGCAGGCCTTCCTTACCCTTAAAAAGTTTCTTTAACTCTTATCCCTCTGTAAGCTACCATCAAAATCCTCTTTGGCATCCTTTCTACTCCAGGGAAAACACTCTAAACTTACCTGGAGTTATGCCTCTGCATATCCTGGGCATTCTTCTGGAATGCTCCTTTCCCCAATTTCTAAATCCTCCCATTTTTAAGCTAGCTCACATACAGGTCCAGGAAGCCTTCTCTGATTCTATTCAGGTGGAAATAACGTCTCCTCTCTTGGAATCCTCATAATAATTTATCTGTAACCTTTCTATGACCCTTACCACTTTCTATATTATAGTTATTTTTATACATTAAGTGGAAAAATCTTTGAGGACAGAGATTGTATCTAGTTCATCTTTTCATATCCTGCCTACAAGAAATAATTGACAAATAATTATTGGAGATATTTAACAGATGAAAACCTTAAAGGCAACTGTTTCAGTAAAAGATATGTACAGCAACGCGTACAATGATTTTAAAAGAAGGAAAGAAGGGAGAGAGAGAGAGGGAAGGAAGGGAAGAGAAGGACGACTTCCAAAAGGAAATTAAAAAGTGATAAGGAAAATGATCAAAGACTAACAATCAGTAGGGATACAGACATGGTCAAGAAGGTCTAGATGGCAAATCCTGGGATCCCATGGCTACAGGAAATGTGAAGCTTAAAAACCAGCACTAGTAAAAGGGTCACCTTCACTATGGGTGGAAACCTTTTGCATATATTACAAACTTCTAAAACATGAAAAACCTAGTCAAATGTCACCTCCTCTGTGAAGCCTTCATCAGCCTTGGAGTTAGCTATTCCCTTTATGCTCACACCTCAGTTTGAGAGCACTTACCACACCATATCTGTTTACTTTTCTATATTCTCCATCAGACGTTGTCACTCTTATGTACTCTTACATCATGAATGAATGACTGATTGAATGAACTTGCCCAAGGCATATATAAGCTTAGAGAAAGAGTTCAGACTAGAAACCATGTCTAGTCTCTCAGCAAACACTTTTTCCTGTTTATTCTATCACTATTTTTAAAATTGAGGCATAATTTAAATACAGTGAAAAGAACGGATATTACATATTCAGCTTGATCAGGTTTTTTTTTGGTGTGTGTGTGAGGAAGATCAGCCCTGAGCTAACATCCCTGCTAATCCTCCTCTTTTTGCTGAGGAAGACCAGCTCTGAGTTACCATCTATTGCCAATCCTCCTCCTTTTTTTTTTTCTTCCCCCAAAGCCCCAGTAGATAGTTGTACGTCATAGTTGCACATCCTTCTAGTTGCTGTGTGTGGGACGCAGCCTCAGCATGGCTGGAGAAGCGGTGCATCGGTGCGCGCCCGGGATCTGAACCCGGGCCGCCAGCAGCGGAGCACGCGCACTTAACCCCTAAGCCACGGGGCCGGCCCCAGCTTGATCAGTTTTGACAAATGCATATACCCAAGTAATCCACATTCCTATCAAGACACAAAACATTTCCATCATCCCAGAAAGTTCCCTCACGCCCCTTCCCAATCAATCACTCCTCCAAGAAGCAACCACTGTTCTGATTTCTATCACCGTTAACTGTGTAGTGGGCACATAAACGGAATCATGAAGGATGTACTCTTTTGCGTCTGGCTTCTTTCGTTCAACATAACATTTCCAGGATTCATCCACATTCTTGATTTTATTAGTAATTTGCTCCTTTTAATTGTTGAGTGGTATTTCATTGTATGAATAAACCTCAGTTTGCTTATTCATTCTCCTGGTGACGGGTATTTGCATCGTTTCCAGTTTTAGGCTCTTATGAATAAAGCTGCTACAAACAATCTTTATTATATTTTTTGTAAATATATGTTTCATTTCTTAGACACCTAAAAGTGGAATTTCTAAGATATAGGATAGATATATGTTTAACTTTTAAAGAAACTGCCGAAACCATTTTCCAAAGTGATGGTACCATTTCATGCTACCACAGGTGTTCACCAGCTCTTGGTAGTGTTAGTCTACCTCATTTAGGAAGTTTCATTACTCTGTTCTAGTGGGTATGTAGTGTCCCCTCATTGTGGTTTTAATTTGCATTTCCCTGCTGACTAATAATGTGGGGTACTTTTTCAAGTGCTTTTTGGCCATTTTTATTTATATTCTTGTATATGTACATATATATGAATACATATTCCATTTCATGTATGTGTACTATATATGTATATATATTCTTCTATACACTATATACATATGTGTATATGTATATATTTCTTTTTAGTCACTTTGTGACGTGACTATTCGAGGCTTTTTGCCCCTTTTAGAAATGAGTTGTCTTTTTATTACCGAGTTCTGAAACTTCTTTACTAGATACAAGTCCCTAATCAGATACATATGCTGTAAGTATTTTCTCTTAGTCTGTTGCTTGCCTATTCATTTCTTAAAGGCATCTTAGATAAGAAGTTTTTATTTTGATGAAGTCTAATTTTTCAATTTTTTTCTTAAGTGATAGCACTATATCTTCTCTAAAAGAAATCTTTACTTAACCCATGGTGGAAGATATTGTCCTATGCTTTCTTTGAGAAGCTTTAGTTTTAGTTTAAACACAGGTATAAAGTCCATATCAAATTAATTCTCATATGTGGTGGGAGACAGGAGTTGAGCTTTGTTTTTTCCCCCCTTTTGGATATCCAGTTGTTCTAGCACTATTTATCGAAAAGACTTTGTTGTCCTCATTGAATTGCTTGGGCATCCTTGTTAAAAATTATGTGTGGTCTATTTCTGGCTTCTTATCTGTTATATTTATATATTTGCCTAGGAAGTCTTGAAGTCAGGTAGTATAAGTCCTCTAATTTTGTTCCTTTAGAAGATTATTTGGGCTACAGTAACTCTCTTGCATTTCTGTATAAACTTTAGAATGAGCTTGTCACTTTATTCAAAAGTAGCTTGCTGGGATTTTGATTGGAATTACATTGAATCCATAGGTCAATTTGGGGATTTACATCTTAACAATATTGAGTCTTCCAATTGACGAATACAGTATATCTTTCCATTTTAACTTTTCTCAGGAAAAGGAGTTTTAGTGAAGAAGTCTTGCATATCTTTCATTAAATCTATCCTTGAGTATTTTAAATTTATCCCTGAGTATTCTGGATGCTATCGTAAGTGGTACTGATCTTTTTTGTTTTGCTTTCCAAAAGTTTGTTGGTAACATACAGAAGCACACGGTGTCCTGTGACACTGCTAAATTCACTTATTAATAATGCTAGTAATTTTTGTAGATTTCTTAGGATTTTCTACACTCACAAACTATGCCATCTGTTAATCAAGATAGTTCTCTTTCTTTTCAACCATTATGTCTTAGATTTCTTTTCCTTGCCTTACTGTACTACCTAGGTGATCCAGCACAATGCTGAATAAAAGCGGAGAGAGTAAACATCCTTGCCTGGTTCCCACTTGAGTGTGGAGAGCATTCAACATTTCAGTGTTATGTATCATGTTAGCTGCAACTTTTTCACAGATGGCCTTTAACAGGATGAGGAAGTTCCTTCTACACCTAGTTGAGAATTTTTAATCATAGGTATTGAATTCTATAAAAACAGTTTTTCAGTATCTATTGAAAAGCCATCCCTGGTGATCTAGTGGTTAAGATTCAGTGCTCTCACTGCTGCAGCCCAGGTTCGTGTCCTGGTCAGGGAACCATACCATCCCTCTGTCGGTTGTCAGACTGTGGTGGCTATCTGTTGCTGGAATGCTGAAAGCTATGCCACTAGTATTTCAAATACCAGCAGGGTCACCCATGGTGGACAGGTTTCAGTGGAGCTTCCTGGCTAAGACAGACTAGGAAGAAGGACCTGGCCACCCACTTCCAAAAAAAACTGTCCATGAAAACTCTATGACTAGCAGCGGAGCATTGTCCATTTGTCATTGTCTTTATGTTGAAAGTATGTTTCTTAAAACAACACTCGGTTAGTTGGGCCTTGATTTTTTTATCCAACTGTCAATCTCTGGTTTATTCTCTAACCTTTTGGTAGGTCTTTGATTTCTCAAAAAAAAGAAAAACAAAATAACATGCTCGATGGAGGAGAAATATAACCCATTACAACATTTTCTAAGTTCTCAAGTGTCCCACTACTGTGAAGGTATATTCAATACTGAAATATATAGTACTTAAAGAATTTCTTAGGTCAGCAATTTTAAAACTTCCTATTTTAACCTCAAACCCAGGTAAGCACCCAAAGACCATTTTCCCAATGATGTTTACTTTTGAGCTAAAGAAAAAGCAGGTGATAATAGAGAATGAGAGCGTACCATATACAAATCATTTATCATATATTTTGTAAGAAAATAATATATGCTTATGCATATGATTTTATTATAATAAAACATTCGATGAATATAAAAGTACTATAATCTTTTTACTACACCTACCTTGATAGTAGGTTACAAATTATATGACTAGCACACATTCATAGGCAGCAAAAATCAACAGTGAGTTTCACTATACAAGCAAATTTGAAGAGATTCTATATACATTTGTGTTAGAATATCCACAGGGTGTGAATCCATCATTTTTGAATCACAATGTCTACGTGGTTATATACTTAGAGATTAGGTACTTAAAGTCTAGCTTTTGGAAAATTAGAGACCAAAAAATATGCAAAGGTACATCACTATACCATCAGCCCACGGACAACTAACCTGATGCCATAAAACTAATTTATTATCCAACAGCTAATATGTCGTCATTATTATTTAAAAGCTAAGACAGCAGCTGCAATCGAAAATCACAGCCAATCAAAAACACTATTAGACTGACCAAGTGTTCTGTCCCTAAATTTCAAAATTTTCAAATACCTGTATGTGCATAAGGACAGTGGGGCTTTGCAACATTACCATACATCGCATGGCAGCCACACTTCTTAGCAGAACACTGAACAGACTCCTCAAATTCTAATAAGGTTCTCCTTTTCATTTATAAATCGCAAAGTTTAGCAACCCTTAATATATAACTGATAAGTAGTCCTTAGTCTAAAGTACAAGCAAATGTGACTCCATTTTTAACAATCAAAGAAAGAATGTCCACCATGGAACAGCTGACCATATTACCACTGCTTTAGGGAACTGCCCTTAATAGAGTAAAATCACTTTTATTCACAGCAATCATCAGTAATGTTAAGCATTTAAAATACCAAGAGGTTTTCATGATTATTTTAAACTTCTAAAAATCTTGTAGTATATACTGGTTTAATTCCATTAATAGTTCTAGTAACTACTATTTGCTAGACACCTATCATGTACTAGGCATTCTCTTAGACTGCTTTCATATTAATATCTCTAATCATAAAACCATGTGAATATTAATACTTCCTTCTACAATGAGAAAATAACTCACACAAAGTCAAACAACTGATAAGTGATAAAATCAGGATTTGAACCTAGATTTTTTTCATACAAACAAAAAAGTAGATCAGGTGATTAGAAATATCACAAAATCAGAATTTGATTTTACTCTACAAAATAAATGAAATATACACGGGGCCACCCCGGTGGCATAGCGGTTAAGTGTGCACGCTCCACTTCGGTGGCCTGGGGTTCGCCGGTTCAGATCCCGGGTGCGCACTGACGCACCGCTCGTTAAGCCATGCTGTGGCGGCGTCCCATATAAAGTAGAGGAAGATGGGCACAGATGTTAGCCCAGGGCCAGTCTTCCTCAGCAACAAGAGGAGGATTGGCATCAGATGTTAGCTCAGGGCTGATCTTCCTCACAAAAAAATAAATAAATAAAAATAATAAATGAATATGCAAATGAGATGCAATATACTCCATAAATTGTATATTTAAATTGATGAGGCTTCCTCCATTTGTTTATTCACAAGTTTATCTTAGATTTAACACTTCAAGAAAACAAATCTTCTATGACTGAATTCAGTAAGGAATTAACTACCCGTTTGTTGATCATTCTCTTTTGAGTATGCCCTACAAAACACTATTAGCAATTTATACTTTTTAATAATCAAATCAAAAGAATACAATTTTAATGTTTACTTTCCAAGTGAACTTTTAATAGCCAGTAAATGACCTAAAAAATAGTGAACATTTTATTTTTCTTTAACTTGCAACCACTACCTGAAAGTCCCCATACACTTCAGCCCACATTTACCTCTTCCTTCTCTAAATGCCTATTTATAATTACATTCAATACCGGTCTTTACTTCTTTCATATATCCCAAAGACCCTGGTGGAATGTGGAATATATGGCAATCATGCACACTTTGGTCAAGGATTCGACCAACGCACTAGAGTTCTTAACAAGTAACATCTTATGAATGGTCCCACTTAAGTTCCGCATAATCTTACCACACATAAAATCCCATCGGTAAATTCTGTGACCAAAAATCTTGTTACACTCAGTTGTAGTAATAATAGTTACACAGATAGATGTGACACTGAGTTCCTAGTTCCAGAACCTCTCCACAGGTTCATCTACAATTTATGATATTGTTGCTTTGTGAAATTGCATCCTAAGTTCCAATTTATAGAGCTATATGGGTGGATAAGGCATAAATAAATTTTTAGAACCAGCAACTTGTTAACTTTCTAGATACCTCAAATCTCATTAAAAAAAAAATATTAATCACTCTCTAAGATTGTGAACAAAAGAGTAGGACTCTAGACTCCTCCCCCCAATATTCATTCATGTATATGAGTTATTCTTACATTGACCATTCTTAAATAAAAGACTGAAAGTAAAGCAGTAAAGTACCTATCTTACAGGTCAGTCTCCAAAACATTACTGATATGCTTCCAACATTCAACAACATCCATGCTCCTTCTGGCATGAATCAGTACTTCATATCAATATCACTGGACAGTAGCAAGTCAACATTTTTTGACCCCATATTTTTGATCCACATTGTACATCACGACCAAGCACAAACATACATGGATATCTAAAATATATATAGATGCACACTCACATAGATAACTAAAATTAAAATTTCATGAAACAATAGTTAACCTTATTATGACCAATGTTTTCTAATTATTTTCTATCCTATTCCTTTTGTTGTTGTTGTTGTTGTTTAATGCTGGCTGTGATCTACTATGAGATTTCAAACAATGGTCTAGACAACCCATACTCTACCTTTGCCACACCAAATAACCTATGCATATACAGAAAAAATGTGAACTACTATAGGGAAGTACAGCATGCAGCAGACTGAATTATTGGTCCCAATTTTTCATGCCCCTGTAATTGAATTAAATACCCACATGCCTACCATGGCCTTATGGTGGGCATAGTGCATTTCTCCACCCCTTGACTTGGGCTTGGCCATGTAACTTACTTTAGCCAATGGGATGTTAATGGACATGACATAAGGAAACTTAAAATATGTCTACGTGGTTGGAACTTCAACGATCCACTGTGACAAGAACATTCCCCGGGTACTCACTACCTTTTCGACCCGGGTCCTAGAATAAGACAATTGGAACAACAGACCTGAACTTGACACCAGCTTGAAGAAGAGTCTCTCCAGCTGGCCCACAGACACATGAGTTAGAAATAAACAACGTATTGTTATATGCCCCTGAGATTTTATAAGTTTGTTAGACAGAAAAAGCTGACTAACAAATAGCATAAAGTATGACTTATCTTGGATCAAAAGGTACAAGACCAGGGTTTTCTATAACTATTCAAAATTGCTTGCTTTTCTGTCACATAAGAACCTATCCTAAGGACACAGTCTAAGAGAAGGTATTCCCCCTCAGACCCTGCTTTCCCAAAAGCTAACAAGTTTTGAGGCAAAATAAACAAGCAAAACCACAGAACAGGACAAATTATTCAAATATCTTCATTGTGTACAAGTAGCACACAATAGAGAAAACGTTTTAAAAATAGAATGTTACTTCTAACGTGGAAAAATTTCACTCAATACTCTTTATAGCAAAGATTCTTCTAGTAGGACATTAAAAATCATTAATTCTAAAATTGAGGCATTCTCTTAAAGAAAAAGTATCATCAAGTTAAGTTTTCTAAAATTATCACCTTGATATGATCCTACCTTATTCTTGGAGTATGTCAAGGAATTTTCTGAAATGAAAGAAAAAAGAAAAGAGAATGTTATCACTTAAATGCTGTTGCGAATTATTCCATAGACAAATAGTGTAAATATCAAGCCAGTAATAAATTACTTTAATAGAACTAGAAGACATAATTTCTACATGAACAGCAAACATTTCTAAATTTTATCCTTACAGTATAGAGAACTAGAGACAATTGCAAACTCCTCAACTCAACACAACATACCAGAGCCAAATTGGAGAGACAAACCTAATTTCCCCAAGGTCATTTGTTTCTGTGTGGAATGCCAAGTGTCTACTAAGCACTGCAAATTCATCCACGGCTGCCTCAGAATAGCTTGGGTCTCAGACACTCAACTTAAGACTACAGTTGAGAGCTCTCTACGACATTTTCATTTATTAGCTTTACGGAGTAAGTGTCTAGATTTGAGGAGCTAACCACCGAATCATGCAACAACAAAGGGGCAAAAATGAAAAGGCCTCAGATTATTTGGCCAACCATTCTCTAACCAGACAAATAGCAACATAGCTTCTCCAGTCTTGTTTTCTGTTTCAAGAATGACAAGAATATTTTTACTGGTCTATTTAAAAACTTTTCAGGCACATTTACTAATAGTCTCATTTTTCTCAGCAATTTGAAAAATTCCAGAAAAATGCTTTGGCACAAAATAAGGCCTTAATATGTTCTTCCCCCATACTATGAAAAAACCAACCAATATTGCCAAGATTTCTTATCAAGAGGTACTTTGTTCTTCTCAGAGGAGTCGAAAGGGCAAATCAAAAGAGCAGGCAATAATTTAAGTCAGCCACAAAGTTGTGAGAAAACTAGGGAAGTCATTAAACCTCAATCACCCAGCTGCCCTGAGGCCTACTCCCTCCTTGTGTCTGTCATTCTTCCCATGTTGTCTTGGATACCAACACCTGCTCCCCAAATCTCACAGGCAGGTATTTTTTAGTTGAAGCACACTTGTTCAACACAAAAGAGGATCTGGTTAAGTCATGATCTCTTCCATTTAACACAGTCAACATGAACTGCAGCCCATCGCTGGTCTTCCTTACTTTGGCCAAACAGAACTGACCTCAACCATTTTTCTCATTCGTGTTCTAATTGAAAGTAATATTTTCTATTAAACATTGAAAGCTGATGAATTTTAGAAGGTAATAGAGCAGCACTGTTCAAGAGAAATATAATTCAAGCTAAATAAAATGTGAGCCACATGTGCGCTTTAAAATTCTCTAGTAGCCACGTTAGAATAAAAGAAATAATACCCAAAATACCATTTCAACTTATGAATATAAACCATTATTGAGATATTTTTACTTTCTTTTCTCATATAAAGTCTTTGAAACCGAGTATATATTTCACATTTCTGCACATCTCAATTCAGACTATTCATATCTCAAGTGTTCAACAGCCACATGTGACTACTGGCTGCAATACTGGACAGTGCAGATTTTGAGCCTAATAATCTTTTCCAGGGATCACTAGATACCTACTATTGTCCCTTCGTGATTATGTAAGAGATTAACAGATTGATGAAGGATGCTGAGTATAAAAATGGATCTAGATCCAGACAATCACTCTTCCCCACCACTTCAGCAGAAATTTCAAAGGGTTTACAGAGATTTTTCTGTAGAAAACAGGTTGCAAATATAATCTAAGGTACAACTGATGAATTTCAGGAGCCAGAGAAGTTAATTCTTTGCACACATGCAGAATTAAGTAACAATCAGTTTCTTTTTCTATAAAATCACAGTTTTAGAGTTGGTAGGATTCAAAGCTAGATTTCAAAGATTATGCAACTGAGTTTAAATGACTTGATCAGGATACACAATGAGTGCATAAGTATTGAAAAAAAATATTCATTCAGTTAAAATTTCATTTGTTTTTAATTATTCTTTTAATAACATTACCTATCCTGTGTGTCCTTTGTGCACCTACATAGGTATCAAAAATTCGCTGCAATTCACACTTTCCAGTCATCTGTCGTAAGAGCCATTTCATCCAAAATCGAAAAAAGTGCCCATAGAAGAACTCCCACAAAGAAAAAAACATTTTTCCTGGAGAAGGAAATATATGACACATTTAGTGGCCTTAAATTGGTTTTTAAAAGGAAAAAAAATTATCCAACTCATCAAATCCCAAATTATATTAATATCTATTATGTTATTCCATTGTGTCTATTTTGTAGTAGTGTTTAGACATCTAAGAATGAGGGTGTAATATACACAATTTCATTAAATGATGGCCAAATGGTCAATTTATCACTTTAAAAGTTAACTGTAAAAATCAAACTACTTACTTAGATTCACGCTCTCAGCTCCCTATTTTAATTTCTCATTCTTTCAGAATGGGGCTTAAAAGTTCAACTACAAAAGGAACCCAATTAAGCACAATTAAATCAAATCTGCCACATATCAGAATTGTTTTTATAAGGAATAGGCTCTTCTCAATCCCTGTGGATAATTCCAGTTACATCTGTCCCACAGTCAGGTGACGCCAGCAAATAAAAACACTACATATGGCTTACAAATTGAAGTATCAAGTTGAACACGTAGTGAATCACACCCTGGCTAATTGTTGATGTTCCATTCAACAAGTGAAGGGCAGAAATACGAAAGAGAGTAATAAACTACACCCTCGATAAAACTGAATCTTAACGCCATAAGAAAAATCTTCAGCTCCTAAATGAGGCGGGATGCGGGGAACGCAAGGGAGGAGGAGTTACTTAAAAACAAACAAAAAATGCTCATCTCCTTCCTGCCTTAAACATTCCCAGACACATCATCTCCAGACTGGGGCCTGAGGGACTGTCAAATTCGAAATGCCCGCAGGTCAGTGCAGAAACAATGCACAGCAGAGAAGGGCTGAACTGTGACTTGAAAATGAGTCCATCCAGTTCGCGCTCATCAGGACAAAAGCAGAACTGCCAAGCGGAGGGAACCGCAGCTTCGCGGCGCCTGAGCGCCCCCGACTTCGGGGCGTCGCGGCGCCGAGCCCCCCTTCCGGGGCCTGGCCGAGCCCAGCTCGCGCGCCGCCCGCCAGTGGGAGGGACCGGCTCGCACAAAGCCCCGCCGGCCCGGGCGCCCCGCGGCTTTTTCGGTAGGACACCGCGGTGCTCGCGCAGCCCGCGCGCCCTCAGCGCAGCCGCACCGCAGCAGCGCGGGGCGAGAGGAAAAGAAACAGCGGCCACCTCACAGGAGCGGAAGAACTAGGGGGACTGGAGCTGCCTCGGTTTCCCCAACTGCACACAGCCGGCAACGGAAACGATGCTACTCGCGGAGCGCTCCCTGCAAGCACCGCGACCCGGAAGTCAGGAAGCGGGGCCACGGGAACGCCTTCTCCGGGACACTGCCCGCCCCGCCCCCGCCCCTCTGGCCTCTTCCGATTGGCTCGCGCTCCACCAATGGCTAACGCTGAAAGGCGGTCGAGCGGAGTTGCCCCGGCGCTCGTGATTGGATTCTAGGGACGCCGGACGGCTTCCCTGGCAACAGCAACCTGGAGGCACGCCCCGCGCCAAAGATGGGTCTCTCCTAGAGCAGCTCTTGAGACTTTTCTCGCCTTAAACCCAGGTCGTTGGCCCAAGTTGAAACCGCATATTGCTCCCAGATGCCAAGCACGGAAGAAGCACTGTGCTTTTGGTAACTTTCATAGCGCCAAGATTATAAAAGCGCTTTCACCTATATTTAACCTTAATTCTGTGAAGTAATTATTAATAGCCCCACTTTATGGATGAGGAAACGGAACTTAGGTTAAACAACTTGTCCATGGCCAATACGTGGCAGATAAAGAGAGCTTTATATGTTGAGAAAAGAAGTTTGGACTTTATCCTATAATAAACATCTAACAGTTAATTCATCAAACATTTATTCCTTAACTGGTTGTTTTTCTTGAAAAAGTTACATGCTTTAAAAAATCCGACTTCGAACAGTACGTTCAGTAATTCAGAAGGTATTTGTTGATTGGCTATTATGCATCAGGCAGTGTTCCAAAAGGGAGTCATAACTAAATAAACGCAGATATTTAGTATGTCAGGTGGTGCTAAAGAAAGGGGTATTAGAAAGTGAGGGGTTGGGGGTGGGGAGGCATACATACAATGTAGTCGGAAGAGTCTCCAGGCGTTAGACGGGCAAGCGCAGAGTACTCCAATCGGGAGCATACTTCATAAGTTGGAGGAATAACAAGAAAGCGAGTCTGGCTGGAGGAGAAAGAGCAAGGGGAGAGTAGACTGTAAATACAAAGGACGACTTACATTGCAAAATATCTTCCCCCCATCCACCCAAGTCTCCCCCTCCCCTCAGCCCCCTTGTTGGAAAGCAACCAGTATTTGTTTCTTGTTTATACCTCCACGAATATTCTATGCAAATATACATATGTATTTCCCTCCATTCCCTTGTTACACAAACTGAAGCAGCAATACACACTTTTCCACACCTCAACAAACATCTTTTTAAAAGATACTAATTGTAAAACACTAGACATGTGAAGGGTGCATAAGCCTTCATCCCCGCCCCACAGAAGCAACCAACAATCAATTTGGTGATGAAATCTGGACATATACTATAATTATAAAACCATAGAATCTCAGATCTTGAAGGGAACTTAAAGATCATCTCATTGAATAATTTTTATTGTAGATAAAAAGATTCAGAAAGGCAAAGTACACAGCCAAATTGGCAAATTAGGAAGTAGAAACTAATTTGCATTTCAGGGTCTCTCCATTACTACACAACACATTCATATAATAGAAAGTGAGATGATCCTGTAATACAATTATATAATCCTTTTACCTTTTCAGTGTGCTGTACGGAGAGTAGGGAGTGCAGAGAGGAACTCTTCTTGTCTCCACGCCGCCTGTTAGCCCACTTCTATCCATGTTTTTCTCCAAGACAAATGCTAACCTGTTTGGTCAGAACCTGAGAAGTTGATTGAACTTCATTTATTGGATGCAGGGTCACTGGACGTTAAAATGTCGGGTCCACGTGATTGCCTGTTCTCTTTTCTGTTAATTCATTTATGTGTAACAGAGAGAGAGATTAACCCAGTCCTGCCGCTCAAGGAAGATCAGCCTTCTCTCTTTCTCTCTTATGCTCTTTGATTTTCTCTTCCATGTGGCTGGCTGTGGTGGTCCTAAGTCCTAAGATTAGAATTCTGGCTTCAAGGAGAAGGTGGGACCTACTTTGGTCTCTGAGCTAACCTGTATGCTCCTATCTGGCCTTACACCTACCTGGAAAAGAGAGGCTATAGTGTAATGGAATGTGGTTGTATTTTTGAGTAGTACTAAGGAATCTCTGCTTTCTTGAATTCTCAGACTAAACAACCAAGGCACTGTTGATTTTAGAAACTGCTAAATGGAAAGTGTTGTTTGGTATGACTATTAATGGACAACTCAGCATTTGATCCATAGAGGATCCAAATTAAATATCAATGCTCCTTTTGGAATGTGTGAAGTCTGGAAGGCAGCAAATTTATACTGAGAAGGAAAATTTTATACTCCATATACTAACAGTGAAATGGATTACCTCTATGGAAGCATAAAAATATGAAGACAGCAGTAACCCTGATTGGTTTTATGATGATTTGTGTTGTACTTTCATGAAACTATGTTAGAAGCTGTGATTAGGGGGAACACCTTGTGTATGGGTTCCCCATATGATGCTTTTAATGGGAGAGCAAGGAAATATACAGAATGCCAAGGCAGATTTGTTCTCACAGCTACTAGTAATGGGCTTTACCAATGAAAAGGAAGTTTAAGCTATTCAGAATTAAGCTAATGGGCTGGGATGAAAATGGTAACCAGAACAAAGGAAATAAATATCGACTCAGGTAGAACTATTTATATGATTGTTTTTTAAAACAGGCAGAGGGTAAGGGAGAATAGAGAAGCAGGAAATTTGACAGGATCCCTGCAAAGGGTTTGGTGGCACATTAACAATAGTTGAGAGAAGGGAAACCTCTAGCTCCTGCATCCACCTCACCCAAGTACCCTATCAGATCTGTCCCAATTATCCCAGCCTGGATGGGATAGCGATGCTGTGATGCTAGTGATGCTGAAGGGAGATAGGGAAATAAGGTGTGTTTAGCACAGGTAGTGATTTTAACTCATCTATTAAGATTGTGGGAGAAAAGATTGTGGGAGATTAACTTGAGGATCAAGAAATTTTTATTTGACCCCCGGTTCGGGGTCCAAGATTGAATGATATAATGTCGAGTGGCAGAGAATAGTGGAAAACTTTTTTGGGATTATTGAATGATCATGCAAAATGTACCATAATACCAGCAGGGGAATGGAAAGGCAATAATAAGGTGTGAAAATCGAAGTTTGGGTCATATGGGAATGTTATAGTAGGAAGCAACAGAATCACAAAGAAGCTGAAGATGGAGAAATAAAAAAGAAAGAAATATCCAGCTCTTGCCTTTACCTGAATAGGTAATTAGAAGGGATGTGATGAAGGTCCTTGTCACTACCATCTTAAAGCCAAATGTCTTCAAGAGACAGAGAAGTCTGCCCTTCATATGGTTTTAACTGGACATGCAAAATGAAAGCCCTGAGACTTGCTCAGATCTTCCTTTGTAGTAAATATCAGGCAGTATCAGATTCTGGAAGGACACAGGAAATCTCATCTTTCATTAGGAACCAATGGGAGCAGAAGTGCTAAGCTCCACTAGTGCTGTCTATGAATCCTCTGTGGTCCAGGAGAAAAAGAGAAGGCTCTTGCAAATAGCTGTTAACTATCATGATTTAAACAAGGTAGTTTCCATGATTTAAACGAGTGTCTGTTTAAACACTTGTTTTAAACAAATGTCTGTTTTACAGTGCTAGGCATTGTAAAAACTGTATAAGAGCTTCAACAAACTGGGATTTTTTGTGTGTGTGATAGATTTAGCTAAAGCTATCTTCTTGATTTCACCCTCAGAGAGAAGTCAAGCACAGTTTGCTTGTACCTGAGAAGGAATGTAATATATGTTTATCGTCCTTCCCCAAGGATATCTGACTTCTCCAACTCACTGCCACAGTTTGGTGAGATTGCATTTAGACATGATCACCATCAAAATTAAGTTAACTCGTTATATCGATGACATTATGATCATTTCCCCTGTGGATGAAGAAACTCAGATTTGAGAGCTGTAGTGGCACAATATGACTAGCGGTATGGTTAATCAATCCAGCTAAGATTCAGAGCCTAGTGCAATCAGTGAAATTTCTAAAAATAACTTCACACCACCAGAGGTATTCTGTAAATGGTAAATAATAAATCACTCTCCCTCCAGGACCCTGCCAATAAAAAGGAGGCACAATGCCTTGAAGGACTATTTGGCAAGCTATAAAAAATATATAATGGGCAGTGGCCCAAGTATGCTGCTGAGACGTTTCTAACACATCCACATATAATTTTAGAAGTTTGTGACACCAGGATACATGGAAATGGGAGGCTTTGGCTGAAATATAATACTGCCACCTTGTGGCAACCACTGGGATTTTTGGACTCAAAAAGTTCCTGATCATGGCGCTAGAGAGCCGGTTTGCCAGCATGCTGTTGGGCTGTAATGAAAACAGTCCCCATAACTTAAGAGCATCAAATTAAGATCTGAACTACCTGTGATGTAATATGGCTGATATCAGAAAGAAGTCGTGATAAAAAGAAAGTTTCACAACAAAATTCTCAAATGAAAGGGAATTCATGTTTCAAGAGGTGTCTCTGAGGAGTTATAACACATGAGCAGGTAGCATCTCTGCTTTAGGACTAATT